GATGATTCGCTTCCACGCAGCACTAAGTCGGTAGCTATCCGAACAGGTAGATTTATTTCTATTTTTTTCGATTTAGATATATTATCTAATTAGTCTTGGCTAGTAGTAGCTAGTTTTGCACAGAACTTCAACATTATCAAAATCAATTGAGTGCCCTTGTTGGCACGCGTGTTCTGCTACTGCTGACAGTTGTATTTGGGATAATTTTAATATATATTTGGTGTTCTTTTAGTCTCTTGCTGACCATTCGTCCTGTTTGCCCAACATAGCATTTGCCACAAGTGCAGTTAATCCAGTACACACCCTCTGTTGATAGCTTCGGTAATACATATTTTGTACCATACAGTGAGGGAAAAAAGTATTTGATTCCCTGCTGATTTTGTACGTTTGCCCACTGACAAATAAATGATCAGTCCATAATTTTAATGGTAGGTTTATTTGAACAGTGAGAGACAGAATAACAACAACAAAATCCAGAAAAAACGCATGTAAAAAATGTTATAAATTGATTTGCATTTTAATGAGGGAAATAAGTATTTGACGCCCTCTCAATCATAAATATTTCTGGCTCCCAGGTGTCTTTTATACAGGTAACGAGCTGAGATTAGGAGCACACTCTTAAAGGGAGTGCTCCTAATCTCAGCTTGTTACCTGTATAAAAGGCACTTGTTCACAGAAGCAATCAATCAATCAGATTCCAAACTCTCCACCATGGCCAAGACCAAAGAGCTCTCCAAGGATGTCAGGGACAAGATTGTAGACCTACACAAGGCTGGAATGGGCTACAAGACCATCGCCAAGCAGCTTGGTGAGAAGGTGACAACAGTTGGTGCGAATATTTGCAAATGGAAGAAACACATAAGAACTGTCAATCTCCCTCGGCCTAGGGCTCCATGCAAGATCTCACCTCGTGGAGTTGCAATGATCATGAGAACGGTGAGGAATCAGCCCAGAACTACACGGGAGGATCTTGTTAATGATCTCAAGGCAGCTGGGACCATAGTCACCAAGAAAACAGTTGGTAACACACTACGCCTTGAAGGACTGAAATCCTGCAGCGCCTGCAAGGCCCCCCTGCTCAAGAAAGCACATATACATGCCCGTCTGAAGTTTGCCAATTAACATCTGAATGAATGAGAGGACAACTGGGTGAAAGTGTTGTGGTCAGATGAGACCAAAATAGAGCTCTTTGGCATCAACTCAACTCGCCATGTTTGGAGGAGGAGGAATGCTGCCTATGACCCCAAGAACACCATCCCCACCGTCAAACATGGAGGTGGAAACATTATGCTTTGGGGGTGTTTTTTCTGCTAAGGGGACAGGACAACTTCACCATCAAAGGGACGATGGATGGGGCCATGTACCATCAAATCTTGGGTGATAACCTCCTTCCCTCAGTCAGGGCATTGAAAATGGGTCGTGGATGGGTATTCCAGCATGACAATGACCCAAAACACACAGCCAAGGCAACAAAGGAGTGGCTCAAGAAGAATCACATTAAGGTCCTGGAGTGGCCTAGCCAGTCTCCAGACCTTAATCCCATAGAAAATCTGTGGAGGGAGCTGAAGGTTCGAGTTGCCAAACGTCAGCCTCGAAACCTTAATGACTTGGAGAAGATCTGCAAAGAGAAGTGGGACAAAATCCCTCCTGAAATGTGTGCAAACCTGGTTGTCAACTACAAGAAACGTCTGACCTCTGTGATTGCCAAACCAAGGGTTGTTCCACCAAGTACTAAGTCATGTTTTGCAGAGGGGTCAAATACTTATTTCCCTCATTAAAATGCAAATCAATTTATAAAATTTTTGACATCCGTTTTTCTGGATTTTGTTGTTGTTATTCTGTCTTTATTCTTAATTTGGAGCTTTCGTGACTAAAGTAATTACTCTTTGGTTCTTTCGGTAAAGTCACGTATAAAGAGAAAATAATGAATGAAATACTACCATACGACGTTTCGATTGCAACACAAGCAATCGTCATCAGGTATAAATGAAATAGAAACACAAATCTAGTATACTTAGAAATGTAATGTAATACAACAGAGAGTCGGATAACATCACAGTCAACACCCTACCTGGTTGATTACGTTCTTCCTGAGAATGCTAAATTGGAGAGAGAGATAAAACACAGAACCAGAACACAACACAAGCGCCCGTCTTCTGCTGCGAGCAGCACGATGTCTGCTGACTTTATCGAAAGAGTATCGATTCCTGTAGTCACGAAAGCTTGAAATCAAGAATGTTCAGCTCGTCTTGGGATATCTTTGGATAAACCTATGTTCGTTACCAGTGTCGAGTAATTTAACTGACTCGTTGACCGGAACCCTCGTGAACAGAGAAGTCACATCAAAACTTACGAAAATATAATTCGGGTTAAGCTTAATATATTAAATGACATTTACGAGATGTTCAGAGTTGTTTTTTATGAACGAAGAGGTCCTACCGATGTAGGCATGTATTTGTTTCGTTACTAATTGTGCTAATTTGTATGTGGCAGAGGCTATTGTACTAACTATGGGTCTTAATGGGACACCAGGTTTGTGAATTTTTGGTAGCCCATAAAGTCTTGGTGGTTTTGATGCCCTTGGTTTGATCAGGTATTGCTCTTTCTTGGGAATTGATGACATGGCAATGATGGCCGTTGTTTTACGTTTTATTATTGTAGTCTTCACGGGACATCACATCAATTGATCGGCCCTTATCAGCAGCAAGAATTTGGATATATTTTGTTGCTCTGAATTATTGCTTTATTGAAGTTGATATTTATTTTTGACAATTAAGCTGTTCTAAATCATTTTGGCATCCTCATGCCAAGTCATCTCAGCTTGATTATGGGGGAGATGTCTAACTGCTGATTCCACTTCAGCAATTATCTCATCGACAGGGATTGTACGTGGGGCAACAGCAAAGTTAAGACCTTTAGACAGGACTGAGACCATATCGCTAGATAATTCAACGTTAGTCATGTTGATAACCGTTTTGTTTATAAAATGTTCATTTTTAGTTGAGAGTTGTTTATACTCTTTGGTTCTTTCGGTAAAGTCACGTAGGTATAAAATAAAATAAATCACGACGTTTGGACGCAACACAAGCGTCCGTCATCAGGTGGGAAAGCATGGTCTGCTGCTAAGGCAGACTGTTTTAAAGGTTTGAAATGGGTGTAGCTCAAGGGTCATAAAGAAGTGGCCAGGGCTAGTAATGTTAATGTGAGAAATTAGCATGTAACTGTTATAGAGTCAATAGATACTACTATATAGTCAGTAGATACTACTCACTCTATTGTATGTAGGGTGTGTAAGTATATATGCCTGGGGGGGGAGGGTAAAAATATTTTTTGAGGGGGGGGGGGGGGTCGACAATTTTCGGAAACCTTTGAGATCAACTATTTACCCCACACTTTCTATAACTTTTTGATTCGGGATTCTGCAAGCCTCTTCTAATTTTGTTGACGGACAAATGGACAGATAAACGGACCGCCGGGCTTTCACAACAGCTTAGTATTTGTGCATGTATATGTCATGTCCTCGACGAGGGCACAGAAGTGGCTATGTTAATGTGAGAGATTAGCATGTTCATGCAAAATCGAAGAGTGGTGCAATCCAAAGGCATGAGTGCAACCCAACGGGTGCAATCCAAAGGGCATGTGAGCATGAGAGTGCAATCCAAAGGCATGAGAGTGCAATGCAAAGGACATGTGATGACCGAAAGGATGAGATGGCGGGTACAAGGGGCCGAAATGAGGTTTCTCCGCAGGGTTGCCGGGTTCGCTCTCCGTGATCGGGTGAGGAGCTCGCTAATCCGTGAGAGCCTCAGAGTCGAGCCGCTGCTCCTCCGGGTCGAGAGGAGCCAGTTGAGGTGGTTCGGGCACCTGGTGAGGATGACCCCCCGGTAGACTCCCCCTGGAACTCTACCGGGCAGCAGCAGCACGTCCCACAGGGCGAACACCCCGAGGCCAGCCCAGGACATGCTGGCGGGACTATGTCAGCCTGAGAACACCTGGGAATTCCCCAAGAAGAGCTAGAGTCTGTGTATTGTAGTGTATAGTGTATACTAATGTAAAGCTTGAGTCTGTGTATAGTAGTGTATAGTGTATACTAATGTAAAGCTTGAGTCTGTGTATAGTAGTATATAGTGTATAGCAGAGGTGTGGACTCGAGTCATGTGACTTGGACTCGAGTCAGACTCGAGTCATGAATTTGATGACTTCAGACTCGACTTGGACTTGCATAACAATGACTTTGTCCCACCTCTGGTGTATAGTAGTGTATAGTGTATACTAATGGGGGGCTAGAGTCTGTGTATAGTAGTCTATAGTGTATAGTAGTGTATAGTGCAGGGGTCGGCAACCAAAATAACAAGAAGAGCCATTTCTTTCCAATTCGGTACAAAATTCAGTATTTCAAGAGCCGCAATGCATCTGAGAACATACTGTACATACGTACATATCGTCAAGAAGCAGCCCGTAAAGAGCCGCATGCGGCTCCGGAGCCGTAGGTTGCCGACCCCTGGTATAGTGTATAGTAGTGTATAGTGTATAGTAGTGTATAGTGTATTCTAATGGGGGGCTAGAGTCTGTGTATGGTAGTGTATAGTGTATAGCAATGTACTGCTGTAGTCCGTCGCCAGGGAAAGGGAGGTCTGTACCGCCCTACTCAACATGCTGCCGACGCGACTCTCGCTAAGGGCAAGCGAACTGAGAAACGAACGAAGTGTATCGATTGGTGGCTATTGATTCTTCGCACAACTCATTCAATACTACACAGCTCCGCCCACCTGTAGGCCCCGCCCACCTGTAGGCCCCGCCCACCTGTAGGCCCCGCCCACCTGTAGGCCCCGCCCACCTGTAGGCCCCGCCCACCCCTCATAGCCCCGCCTCCTATTGGCTCCGCCCACCCTCCTAGCCCCGCCTCCTTCCAGCCCTCCTCCTATTGGCCCCGCCCCTCCCCCCCCCGGTCCCGTACCCCCCCCCCGTCCCTTCTCACCCCTGACCCCTGACCCGGAAGCGGAAGCGCCGTTTTTCTGTTCAGTCATTGTGAGGCACCCTGGTGTGAGGGGGCAAAGAAGGCGGCAGACGCAAATTCGAGTAAACTTTCAAGTTTCGTTCGCGACCGAGCGACGCAATCCAGCGCGCCATGAAGGAGGCAGCGGTGGCCAAGCCCGCCAAGAAGAAGGACAAGGAGAAGGCCAAGGTGGAGGACGTTGAGATGAAGGACGCGGCGGCGGATGGTGGCGAGGCCGTGGCGCCCGCGGACCCCGTGCGGACGCAGAAGGAGACGGACGCGCTCGCCCTGGAAGGTGCGAGAGACCCCGGGGAGTCGATCCGTGATCGTTGTCGTCCCTTGCTGTGCGTCTTGTGTGCCGTGATATGTTGCCTTGCCTCGAAGGCGGCCTAACGTAACCCCCCTTCTTCGCTCCCGCTCCCCGGTTGACATCGCGCGGGGGTGATGTCGAGGCCTGGGTTTCGCGTGGAGTGGCTACGATTGGCAGCAGTAGGGTCGTCTTTGATTAACAGCGTCGTGATCTTTTAACAGTCGTGCCATTGTTGTGATTAGGCTCAAATGATTGTTTTGATATCCACCATCAACAGCGTCATCGTGATTAACAATAGTTGTGCGAGTCTACGTTCAGCATGGTCATTGTTAATTGACAGCTGCAGCAGCGTTATTATCTAAAGGATCGTTTTCAGTCAATAATTGTCAACAATCATCGTCCGAATCACCATATGGCCCCGAGTGGCCTTTAGTGAGGCCCCTGACGTGCGGGACCCCGACAATACACAAATGTGAAAACACCCCCATCATCGTACTGTCACCCCCCCCCCCCCCCCATGGTTTAAAATGTGTGGCGGCCCTCACACTAATGATGTCTTATCGAAAGTGGCCCTCACTCTGAAAATGTATTTTCTTGGACCATGTGATAACGGATTTGTCTTGTTGATTAACCATATTGAATTTTGTAATCTGGATTATTCAGCTTATCCCTTATGAAGGTCTAATCATTGCATTTCTCACCGTTGATTTACTTATATACTTTTTTTTACCAAGTCTATACTCAGGTGTACTATCGCCGTCATTAGGAATTCTCACAGCAATGTAACGCCATGTATCTTGAATGACCGTACAAGTGATTATCGTACTTGTGCGAAACACTAAGTGGCCATTTTATGCAATTGGGGCACAAATTCCCACACATTACTGTGACAGTTAAACTGATCATCAAACCGATATGACAGTGATTTAATTTATGAGCTGGAATTGAAAATATATTTTCGTATGTCATTCGTGACCAAACTGACACAATTTAGTAGACGAGAGAATTCAGTACAATAGTCTGAAAACCTCAGTGGGGTGGGATCTTGGTGGCATTGACTCAGCACTCGTGAGCTGTGTAGCCTCCTCCCCTTTGCTGCTTTTAATATCTTGAAGGTTTTTCATAACATAATTTATAAGTGAATCTTACTTTAGGAAAGTATACTCTCTCTCTCTTGATGCTTAGCTTTGGCCTTTATTGTTGATGTGGTGTTCACACGCTGGATGTGAGTGTTGTAAATGTGCATGCAGAGTGGTCAGATCCAGAATAAATCATGCAACCTGTTTTTTGTTGGCACCAGTCTTTTTTGGCTAAGAGAAGGCTTTTTTTGTTTAATATTACGTCATTTAACATTGAATGTTTCTTTTTGCAGTTACGTACTTAAATGTAATCTTACTTTGTACCCCCTGGAAATAAATTGATTAGCATAGTGTAAAAAGTGGAGTGTACAGTACTTTAACGTTCATCTGGAGACCTGGCTGCAATATTAGGGACACAAACATTTGGTGGGTATGGTCCTAACCAGAAAGCCTTAAGTTGCAGGCCTCAATGAAGTACTCTGATGCATCATGCTTTTCCAAAGTCTTAAATGCTAACATTAAACTTTGTGTGTGTGCTGGTATAACGTCTTCCTCAGACCTGAAGGAACAGGTGCGGCAGATCGAGAAGTCGGTGTCAAGCAAAGAGCCGCGCTTCGTGCTGCGTGTGCTGCGTGCATTGCCCTCGACACGCCGCAAACTGAACGCACATGTCCTGCGCAAGGCGCTTGCCGGGTTCTACACATCCAGCGGTGCAGCACCTGCCCGTGACCTCCTCCTCACCTTCTTTGATGAGGTTTGCGCCATCCTCAACACTGCCTCCACGCGCCTTCACACGTCTTTGTCTCACCATTATTGTGTTTTTGATAGAACATCGCTTAGCACTGATGTTTGCTAAACAAATGTGGATTGTTACCTAAAATTGCTTAGGTGATTGTTTCTTGTAACGTGTTCTGCTTTAAGTGAAAAACTAATGGAAAAGTTCAAGAAAGCTGTTTAATGCAAGCAGCTGCTTGTGGTGTTGATTTTTTAAGCATGAAGAAAGTAAAATGCTCCTGCCTGCCTAAATTAGTTTTGGGACTGTGCTAATGTCCATTGGTGGCCTAGAGCCAGTAGTGTCGATTCGAAATTCCTTTGGCAAAGAAAAATCTCTTCATAGGGTAATCACAATTTAATTCACTTATGGGCAACAGCTCCATTGTTTTTCTGGATGCAATACGTTTGTGTTAAGTGTTATAATTTGCAGCTGCATTAGGTCAGATGGATTGCAGGTGCTGTTTCTTATTGGCAGCATCCTTATAGGTTACCTAAGTGTTTGGTTCCAGCACTGCTAAGTGCGGGTCTTACCTCTAAATCCGTTGTGCTCCTATATAAACCATGACTTAAGCCATTACTCTGATCATCCTCTTGTACAACTTCTAGTTGGCTTGTACATTTCGTTATCTTTTTGGTATGTGTTCTGTGCAGCCAATGGATGCGGAAGGTGAGGTTACGTTCCGACCACGCACGGGGAAGGCGGCAGCACAGCCCCTGCTGCCTGAGACGGAGACATACCTGCAACACCTGTGCGTGGTGTACCTGCTGGACAGCAAGCGCTACGACGATGTGAGCTCTCCAAACCGCACATCCTCCAGACACTGCTCAAATGTAACTTGTGGTATGCTCGTAGCGTGAAACGTGTGTAACTCAAAGTTTTATTCGTGTAAGATTGAAAATTGTGTACTCATAGCTCACAGTATAATTAATATAGATCAGACTTCTTAGACATTCAAATTGAAACTCATCAAGAAGAAAGTTATTTAAAACATTATTTTCCACACCAAGTATTGTCTGATGCTGGAGCATTTTTACGTAAATATACCTAAAGACAACATTCCTTGCATTACAAGCACTTGGCACATCCCCAACCAATGCATAGCACACGTACAACAAATGTATACATTGGTTCAATTTAAGTTTCAGTGCTACCTGTTCATAGATATAACTGATGTGCTACTCTCTTAAGTGTTAAAGCTATTCATCAATGAATCTATAGTGGCTTGTGTTTCTTGCACTAATAAGGATTTCCACTTTCATTTCGGCAAAACAGGCCCAAAAGTGCTCTGACGACCTCATGCAGAAAATCGCATCCCAGAACCGGCGCACTTTAGACCAGTTGGCGGCTCGTTGCTACTTCTACCACTCGCGTGTCTACGAGTTTCTGGACAGGCTGGACTCCATCCGCAGGTTTGGCATGCGAAACCACGCGAGGCTCCGGCTCACATTGATTGACTTTCCCCTCGCAATGTGACCTGTATTGAACATCCCGTCGCGTTGTCTGCACATTGCAGCTTTCTGCAGAGCCGGCTGCGCACAGCCACGCTGAGGCATGACACAGATGGGCAGGCCACTCTGCTCAACCTGTTGCTGCGCAACTACCTGCACTACAACCTGTATGAGCAGGCTGGAAAGCTCGTTTCCAAGTCGCTTTTCCCTGAGCAGGCAAACAACAATGAATGGGCTCGCTACCTCTACTACACTGGTGAGTACATCCTCCTGCCAGATGAACTACCACCTTCATTTTTAGCAGTGCCTTTGAACAGACATATAGCGGACCATTGCCCGATACGTTGTGTTCTGCATTTTGTTATGCTGTAGGCATGAGTTATCATAACAGTGTTGTGGTGTTGCCAATATGTGCTACAATCACTGTTTTGCATAGTTTAGATGTTGAGATCCTACGTATCCAATGATCGCTTCCACTTTACCATTTAGAAAGAGCTCTTAACAAGTAATAATAAAGTCTTCCGTTTTGTTGGTGGAAATAGGAGGCTTTATAAACTGAAGGAAAACATTTAAGCGAGGCAGAAACCTTTCGTGGTCTTGCACGCAAATCGGTTGTTGCTGGTTTTTTTTCTGTGTGGCAGGGCGCATCAAGGCCATCCAACTGGAGTACTCAGAAGCACGGAGAACTCTGACCAATGCTCTACGTAAAGCTCCACAGCACACAGCCGTGGGCTTCAAGCAGACAGTGAGGCATTGCACAATACATCGTGGCATGAACCCATCCACAGGGCAGTTTTCACATGTTACTACTGGGCTCTTACATTCTTCCACTTTTCGAGATTTTTATTTTTTACCTACATGACTTTACCGAAAAAACCTAAGAGTATGAATCCTTGCAGTCACGAAAGCTTCAAATCTGGAACTTTTCGAGATGTCAGCATATGTCATTGCACATGTGTATAGGGGAATGGCGGTGCTATAGTTCTTGCACTGAGCTTTGATCCTGGCATCCTGGGTTTGTTTCCTTACCATTGGCACTGGAACTGGGTCTTCCTAGGTATGTTCAGTATTAAATCAGTACTAAGTGCACTGTGTTAACAGCATAGAGGAGGCAAAGGTAGCTAAGGGTTGGCCACACCACATCCTTCTGTGCAGTGATACCTTGAGTAGTTAACTGCTAAAGCACTTGGCTCAACAGTCTTGACGTGTGCTCATGTGTGTTAGTATCTTCATATTCTTACTGTTCCTTCTTGGGGCAGGTTCACAAGCTGTTGATCGTGGTGGAGCTACTGTTGGGGGAGATCCCTGACCGTCTGCAGTTCCGCCAGCCTTCCCTCAAGCGCTCTCTCATGCCTTACTTCTTACTCACCCAAGGTGTGTGTGTGTGCGCGCACATGCATATTTAAAAAAAAATGTGAGCAGATGTTACATAGATTAGTGCAAGTTATAGAGATGCCCCGATTAATGTGTCATCACGTCGGTTTGAAGCCAAGTTTGTTGCTTCTGCTAGATGTTTGCATACATTTTCCATTTAAATTTCTAATCATGAAAAAGTAAATCTTGATGTTTTGCTGGAGGTAATTAAAGATGGTGTTTGTCTCCCTGGTGCAGCTGTGCGGACAGGGAACCTTTCCAAGTTCAACCAGGTTCTAGAGCAATTTGGAGACAAGTTCCAGACAGACTTTCGCGTACACTCTGATTATTCGTCTGCGCCATAACGTGATAAAGACAGGTTTGTTCCAGCAAATCCTTTCAACCACACATCTCTCACTGCATTTGTGCTGAAATACCAATCTGTTTCGCCGCCAAAACATGACTGTAGAGTCTAAATTGCATGGCGGCAAAATCCTAAGCTTATGCCATCTGATTTCACCGTGAAATGGCTAGCCATTACACTCATCAAAATATGCATTTTTGAGGTTTGGATTATGTAAAAAAATGTTGTTTAAATTGGACTTTTATATTCCAATTCTATGTGCTCAAATTAATATTACACCACATATGTACGTTGAACTTCTATCGCACAGTATGTAGCCGACCATGCAAGTGGTACGTGATATTCCAATGTTGAAATAACTTTTGATCACATAGGTCTATCGTGCTGGTATTTGAAACTTCACCTATTTGCTTTGTGATGAGTTCAATTAATATGCGTGGATTTTGTTGGGTGTGTGGGCATGCTGTGTGCGTATGCATACAGGTGTGCGTATGATCAGCCTGTCGTACTCGCGTATCTCACTGGCTGACATCGCCCAGAAACTGCAGCTTGACAGTCCTGAGGATGCAGAGTTCATCGTTGCGAAGGTAACATTGCCCTGCTTTGTACAATATTTACACCTGGGATAACATGTATTTAAACCTAATTTTATCACAGGAGGGGCCTACTCTTGCGATTGATGTTACAGGATATTTAATGTATGTATGTTGAAATTATTAACACGTTCCTTCGGAGTGGGCAGGTAGGAACTTGGTTGGACAGCGCATTCGTGCACGACAGACAAATATGCACGACAGACAGACAAATAATCCCTGGTGGGCAGTGTGGAACCTGTTGTTCCTACCTGTATGAACGGTACATAGCCAACCATGCTAATCGGAGGTGCGGGGAAAGGACCACATACTAAACACAAAAACAAAATAGATGACACCATTTTACGTTTATTACATCCCCCAACATGGTAATTCTGACATTTATAGATTGGATCTTAGACAAGCTTCAGTCACTTATGAGCATAGTGGTCAGAATATTAGAAAACACGCTCTCATGACAAGATTATACTTAATAATACCAGTGTCTGTTCCATAAGAACTCGAGGTAAATATATGTTTTCATGCTGAGCTGTGATGGTTAATTTTGGTCGAATGGTATCAAGACAAATAGTCATAACAACACTTTCCACAAAGTGTCCCATCGCCCACGTGATGTGTGTGTGTGTGTGTTCTGTGCGCGCTCAGGCCATCCGAGATGGGGTGATCGAGGCGAGCATCAACCACGAGAAAGGCTACGTGCAGTCCAAGGAGACCATTGACATATATGCGACCCGCGAGCCACAGCTCGCCTTCCACCAGCGCATTGCCTTCTGCCTCGAGATGCACAACATGTCTGTGAAGGTGTGGTCCAGTGTCTCAACGTTTGGTATTGTTAAGGTTAAATTTCGATTTAAAGCTTTCGTGACTGCAGGGATTCATATTCTTGGTTCTTTCGGTAAAGTCACGTAGAAGGGAAATAATAAAATAATATTAAAATATTAAACAATAAAAATTCTCACGACGTTTCGACTGCAACACAAGCAATCGTCATCAGGTGTGAAATTCGTTCCATTCATTGGCTACCACATTCTGATAAGCCCCTCCCCTCCCTCCCCCCTTAACTAGGACTTAAGAGCGTACATCTTGAATCCCTCCTTCACTTGATGCAGCAAATCTGGCTGTGACGGTCCCACCTGATGACGGAGACTTGTGTTGCCTCCGAAACGTCGTGATTTTTATTGTTTTATTTTTATTAATTTTAAATTAATTTTTTACCTACGTGACTTTACCGAAAGAACTAAGAGTATAGCTTCAGAAACCCAATTTCAACAGTTTTGGGAATTTCACAAAAACCGCATGATCCACTAAACTCCAAAGCACTGGATCGCAGGTGTGCGTCGCTGTGTCTAGTAACACATTCCTGCGGAGGGAGCTGGTAGGAACGTTGGGTTGCTCGGTCAATGGCCAGTGTCAACAGCGGCGTGGTGTATTCCGCAAATATGGCCGACTGTGAGGGCCGGCACAAGCCGGGGTGAGTAGGTTAAACGTTGAGTTTTATAAGGGCACCACAGGGTGACCAGCCCCTCCCCACCCAGCCCAGCCCCTCCCCACCCTCCCCTCCCCACCCGCCCCTCTCCACCCAGCCCCACCCCTCCCATTTTTGGATGCACGATGGATGGACACAATAATCCCCTGTGGGCTGGTGGAACCAGGTGGTTCCTACCAGTAAAACATTTCTTCTGCAATTATTTACATATCTTCGGTCCAGCCACCAGTAATGCACAAAAACTGCATATTAAAATTAATATTGATACTTATATTGCTATACATAGGTCTATAGGTAATCGATGGACATGTGATGTAGCATCAAGTGATGTAACCAGTTGCTGTTGTTTTGTGCAGGCAATGCGATTTCCTCCCAAGTCTTACAACAAAGACTTGGAGTCGGCAGAGGTGAGATTCATTGCCGAGTGACCTCAGCATGCAGCAAGATTCATCTTTTATTTTTCCTCCACAATTGCATGATGGATGTGCGCGTGGCTCCATACACACTACACATAAGCTATTCAACAGTACTCGTAATTACCCTAAAAATCCACTCTGAGCAATTGTGCTGTTTATTTAGTTTAGTTTTTCCATAGAACAGCATTAGTGACAATGGCAGTGTGAAGTTCTGTATTTATGGGATGATTTGTATCATAGGTGTGCCAACATTACTATTACCATTGTATTCGTTTAAAATGGTGAACAAAAAATGATAGAGAGGTTACACAACCAAATATTGCATTGGTAGATCGTCATCTCCACCGAGGATATTCTGTGAAAGGGTTACCAAATATGGGAAACTTATTTGCTAAATTTGCTGGACAATAATAGGTTGCCATTTTCAAGAGTGGAGTGTTGCGTGCCAATGTTAAATGTTTGCAATTATGAATAGAAAATTACCCCTCTGAACATCTGATGCCTCTGAGATTAGCGGAGGGGGGGGGATGGGTTTTGGAAAAAACTGCAGCATAGCATGTCAAGTAGCTGAGAAATGTGTGGTCATGTTCCTCTTAGGTCATGTTCATAGGTTGAGGTGTGTTGTCTTTGTGTATATTCATACGTGTTTTGCACATTAAAAATGTATACTACGATTGTATGCTGTTTCTTAATGAGTTATATACATTACTTTATAATCCACTGCTGATATTTTCACGTGCAATGTAATATATTTGTATTTTACTACTTGGCTTAAAACATAAGTGAATCTGTATTTGACAGCCTCCAAAAAGATACCTTGATTGAAGCAATTATGTATTTATGACAAACACCAGCTTTGTTGTAAAAATAATTTATTTTGAAATGGAGGACTTTCCATTTTCATGAAATTGAAATCCAGGACAAAATAAATAAATCCTCAAGATTTGAGTAAGTGGGAGGAGTTATGTTTGGTATGTAATGTTTAAATTATTCTCTCTAATGGTAAGATGTGAGTTAAAATTGTATATGTCACTGCTTTATTTTTCAGACATTTTTAGAATTTGGTTATACAGCAACAGTTTTATTGCCCAGTATGCGCCGAGATTATGTTCAGATACAGTAAATACTAACACCATATATAGCTGGAATCACGACGCCCGCATTGTGCACCTTGATTACACCCTGGCAACATGACATCACAAGTCCCGCTTGCTGTCAGTGCAACTGCATCATCAGTGATGTGTTTTTGTGCCTTTCAAAGGCAACGCCACAAGCAGAAGTGTATTTTCTTTTTAGAGACTTGGTCTGTGCTTTTACCTGCTCATGTGCCATCTACTTAAATTATTTTGTGGGTTCCTATTTGATTTTTGAAAATATATGCATTGCCAGGTGTGTGACGGGTACCTCCTGTATTAGAAAGTGTTGTGTTTACATCCATGGGTTCCTAAAAAAAAACATACGTATGAATGTAGGCAACTCTTGTCTTATCCAAGTCACCAAAGTCCCGCTGCATATGAGCGAGCGAGGTAGGCGGGCGAGGTAGGCGGGCGAGCTGGTAGATGCGCGAGTGGGCTAGGAGCTGTGGAGCCTTGCCGCTGGGCACAGCGTGACACTGGTCGTGTTTGCGGCACGTGCCTGTCAGGAGCGGCGTGAGCGGGAGCAGCAGGACCTGGAGTTCGCTAAGGAGATGGCGGAGGAGGACGATGACGGTTTCCCATGAGGGCAGCCTCGCACAACCATCAGCCACCTCATCCACCTCACCCCAAACCTCATACAGTGGCTGCCACCAGGGAATGAGTGAAAATACGCCATCGCTTTCATGAGTTATACCATTAACCTTTTTTTTGTACACGTTTTAAGCAGGGGCAGTGGGACTTTTCCCAAGCAAATTAGACACGTGTATGCTTGGGTTGAGAAAAACGTTCTAGAACGCCCAATAACCAAATTAATGTAAAAACTTATTTTTGGTGGGTCATTTTGAGCTCTTTAAAATGAACATAACTAAGGAATTCGTCCAAATAGAGATGTTTTTTTAAGGGCATTGCAAAGTGTGCAGGTTTCAATTAGCTGTTGTGAAGGAGCCGAGTTTCATTGGGGACTGCATCATCAGTGGTATCTGGACCTGGCACATGAAATGCACGCTGCAAGCGTTTTTTTGTTTGTTTAAATTTACCCCCAGCCCCCTTAACCCCCACGCTACAATACATCAAAAATAAAACTTTCAAGTTGCATGTTAATGACCTTTGTTTTATTGTCTTTAGTTTGTTGACCCACCCCCCGTACCTGTGATTAGCGTAGTTGACTATGTACGGTACAAAATAAGTTCAACATACATACGTTGGAACGTTATGGTTGCATTTTTAATGTTTATCCCATGAGCAGCATCTGGTCTGGAATGAAGGTATAATTGGGAAACTAGCTGTATTGGAGTTAAATTATTCTTGCCTGATAACAGCTGTTTCACCACTAGGGTGGGCTGGTGGTCAAACTCGGTTGGCCCGCTCATACTTTTATCCAGAATGGTTATTCCAAGTCAGAAAAATAACGTTTAAATTCTACTGCCTTGACGGGTTCAGTTTAACATTTTACTGCAGTAACTGCAAATATATACAATAAAACTGTTGATGAACATTGTCGAATTTCAGATGTTTCTTTGAATGTAAGGCCTTCGTTCTGAATTGTTATGAAAGGCATGGGGGAATGGCAGTGCCATTTTTGGGACAACTTCTGTAAGCCAGTTCCCAACCAGTGTTCATTTCCAATTTGAAGAGACAACATTCCATCACGCGTGTGAATAATGCTGGAATACAACAGGAAGAACATGGATAAGGGCTGTAATCGCAAGGAGACAAGATTGAAACATGGTACTTGTTTTTTTGTTGTACTTTTATGAACGAGTTAAGAAAAGTTCGTAAACACCACGTTTTAGTAATAACTGGTACCAGCTAAAACACCGAGAATATAAAGTGTGTTATTCATCTTCTTGGTTCTTTCGGTAAAGTCACGTAGAAGGGAAGTAATAAAATAATAAAAATAAAACATAAAACAATTCTCACGACGTTTCGGCCACAACGCAAGCAGCCGTCCTCGTCCTTGCGTTGTGGCCGAAACGTCGTGATAATTGTTTTATTATGTTTTATTTTTATTATTTTATTACTTCCCTTCTACGTGACTTTACCGAAAGAACCAAGAAGATGAATCCCTGCAGTCACGAAAGCTTTAAATCGAAATTTAAGTGTGTTATTGATGAAACAATGATACTAACATGTTGGTGGAGGTCCGTTAAGCTTGGTGAATATCCAATGGTAATCCGTACGGAACACTTTACCAGGCTTAAATGGTTTCAACTCAGGTGGTGTTACATTCATTTTGCTTAGTTTCTGTCAGTAAAAGGGTGACTGGCATGGTGACTTACGCAACTGCTGTGCATTTTTCACATTCTAACGCTGGTATGTTTTGCTCAATCAAATGGGTATTTATAAGTAACTAACATTAATTATAGATACCTGTTTCCAGTACTCATCACAATTATTTATTTGTATTATTATGAGGCCAGTGGCTGGATCACTGTTTTTAATCCATATTTAATCTGGTTCCGAGAAAGTGAGCCGTATCATTTGCTTAATAGGCTTTCAAATTGCAATAACTGGTCAAACATTTTTCTTCTTCCCGTGCGGTTACCTCAAATGCACTTTTTACAAAACGCGACCAAGAACCCTGAAATAATTGAGACAAAACAATTGATGTTCAAAGATTACACCTGCAATCTTCAAAAAAAGTCCTTCATTCATTTCAGAAGCGAATTTATTCTGCCTGTGTGTCACACACCAACACGTGACTGCTGGAGGAGTCCTTTTAAATTAGATCAAAAACGTCAACCCACGAGTGTTTTTTAACTAAACGCTTAGAACACTTTTTGATAAGTGGTCTAAGTTATAACTACTTGGCTTAAAATTCACGAACAGGGTATTTACAACAAAGAGATTATGACACGCAATTTTAACCCTTGTATTTTAAAGCGGATTTTGGGGGTGCGTCAATCTGGAGAATGCATTGTCTTCCAGAAAACGTTAAATATTTTTTTTTCTCTAGAAGACGGTTATCCAGAGTAATACACCACCCAGAAGACCACCACCAGTCATTCAAAATAATCTTACAAAAGCTGCCTCTCCCTATCTTAAAGCAGCACATTCATAATCATCTTCCAGAAGATGGCTCTCCAAAGTGGTGGATTACCTTTTGGTAGACGCACTTTATTTAATACAATTGAGATTAATATTCCGGAAGACATCACCCATTTTTAAGTGGCGCGTTCATAATTACCTTTTGAAAGATATCTCTCCAGAGTTACAGTATTATGCCCATTAATGATAAGCCTTTCCCCATTGGCCAGTCATAACTTTGCTTATAACTTTTATTTCTTGCTGTTCCGGGACATTTAACGGATAGTTTTTAAATAACCTCAGTATGCAGAGGCAATTTTGTCATCGTACATGGACTGCATGTGCTCTAATATAGAACTATATTAGTGGAAATGGTAATGCAGGAACTTAATAAACCCCAATCCTTACCCAAACACCTACAGGGACAACCAGTGTGCGAATTTATACGTGTAACACAAATACCACAAGCACTTCACTGCCCAAATATTCACATACACAAATCTACCAGTTTAAACTGAACTCAAAAGAGGTGTCTCTCACACACACACCTGCCGGAAATAAGGAGTGGAGATTGCCTGCGTGTCTCCATCTGCATGCAACCTCGCCAATGCTCGTGTGGGGTGGTTCGCAATGGGAGGGTTGGCGGGCGGGGGGGTCTGGGCCACGGTCGAGTGCTGCCACAAATAAGTGTGGTTTCCATGGCAGGGGGAGGGAGGGAGGATGGGGAGGATGTGTGTGTGTGCCTGCATGTGTGGGTGGGTGTGCGTCACACTGCACGTCAGTGTGAGTATGAACTCGACGATGCGTGGGTTGAAATGCACAGCCTCGGCAAGGAGAGTGTCGGGCGACCCTACGTGGTTGAGTGCATGGGGTACGGTCATGTGCGTTTGCACTGTAACGCTACAAAGCCATCAACTTCGGTTTCAGGCTATCAAGTTCTGGAAATTGGTATCTAATGTGAGTTGTGTCTCGGTTTTAGATGGCCCTCTCTCTCTCTCTAACGTGAGTTGCTGGTGCAGTCAAAATTAGAAACGGGCTATCCAAAATAAAAACGGGTCTCTGTGTGTACATCGAGTCGTGAATCCAACCTTGGCAACAGGTTTCAATTCCGAGCCATGGACATCAGTCAAGTGGCCTAATTCAGGTGAATTCAGCCTTACAAGAGGACTGTACCTGGGGCTGTGAACATCAGAACTCGCCAGCTGCACATCCATGTGGTGTTAGCTACATTGCCTCATGTACCATGCTGGCCTAAATATGTAATACAAACAGCACGAGCATCTGCGAGTTCGTATTGTTTTATTTTGAATAGCTGACCTCTGGGTTCTCCAATGTCCATACATACATTGTAAAAGGTCTTCGCCAAGCATCCAAGTGCAGGACTCTGTGTGGCTTTTCTGGGTAAATAAGTAATCAATATGTACAGCTTTTACTGGTAGGAACCTCCTGGTTACACCAGCCCACAGGGGATTATTGTGTCCGTCCGTCCATCGTGCAGGGAGGGGCTGGGTGGCAGGGAGGGGCTGGGTGGGGAGGGCTGGGTGGGGAGGGAGGGGCTGTGCGGGGAGGGGCTGGGTGGGAAGGGTGGCGCTGGGGGTGGGGTGGGGATGGGAGGGGCTGGTCACCCCGTGGTGCCCTTATAAAACTCAACGTTTAACCTACTCACGCCGGCTTGTGCCCGCCCTCACAGTCGGGCATATTTGCGGAATACAGCAAGCCGCCGTTGACCCTGGCCATTGACCGAGTAACCCAACGTTCCTACCAGCTCCATCCGCAGAAATGTGTTGATGAGATTCGTGTGTTTTGGGCCTCCCTATGGGTGTTATGGAGCGAGTGTTTGTTCTGGTGCGAGTGTGGATTGGGCATGCGCAAGACTGTAAAGTGACCCCAAGCCCATGAACTCGCACATCGGCGTTATCGAACCATGCAACCAAGCCGGCCAGTGCTCTCAACAGAAATCTCCTATAGCCCCTCTTCAATGAAATAATTTCACAAGATCGACTGCACTTGTCACATACATATTCGCGCTCAGTAACGCTGTGTTCCCATTGATTTCGGGATGAATACAATTTTAGACAGCCATTCAGAAAAGCCACGATGTTCTTAAAGAGGCAATCGTCTACTATAGCAAAACAATATTTCACCACATATATTTACACACGTGGGTTCCTAGGCATTACTTTAAGGTGAGGCCATCTTAAAGTGGTTTAATGGTTACTGAAGAACACCTTTAGTAAGTCATTAATACACATCTCAGCGGGGAGGGAAGCAATGGGATTGGCTGAGGACTGAGAAATATTTGATGGGAAAGAGAAACGAGGGGGGGACAGAGACGAAGAAAGAGACCAAGGGACAGGGTTTGTGGAGTGGCGGAATGAGAAGAACCTTCTTGAAGGTTCTAGAAGGGACGGGAGGGGGGGTGAAGCAGGTGCCATGTGAGCACGGGGCTTGGTTGGCGAGACAGCTTCCGAATTGTGTGTTGCTGGAACAATGCAGTTCCCTAAACCAGTACTAATGTGGGACTCCCTCTCAGTATAGCACGCAAGCCGTGACATCACACAAGACTGGTTGGCAAATGTCGTCTTCTCTGTTGTAGAATTAGGTGGTACAGCATAGTAAGCAACATATTTTGCGCTATCACAACCAGGGCTGGATTAAGGCACGGGGGCTTTAGGGACCTCCGCCAGCTGGAGGACCCTCCAGAGATGAAGTGAAAAGTTATTTCATTTGTGAATGTTGAATTTTTTATTTGTTAGCCTTGTAAAACTATTTTTTTCTTTAACTTCGTTTTCCTTTTGAAAGCATTACTGGGGGGCCTCACAGTACCAGTAGCCCAGGGGCCTACAAAATCTTAATCCGGCCCTGATCACAACTCATATTCTTGTATATTCAAGTGGCATTAGTGTGTATGCATATGCACACTCACTTCCAGCGTGCGCTGTGTGGGCGGGGAGAGGAAGTACACTTCGACTGAAAACCTGCGTGGGTGTGAGTAAGGGTGGGGGTGTGTGTGTGGGTGTATGACGATTATCTGAGCAGGTTTTGTGCCTCCCCTAGGTCGACTCAGCCTAAAATGAGTACTGTATTTGGCGCGGTGTGTAAAAACAGCAGAGCTCTCGTCTGCCATCCCGGCATTCGTAGGTGTTCATAATAGCACTTGCCCCAAGTCTATTAAAGCCGGTACGGGGGATCTTTGTCTTTGTGTGTGCATGCATGTGAACACGTGGGTGTGCGTGGGATGGTGTTGGTTTTATCATGTACAGTGGCCCAGATGTCTTGTGACCCCCATTTATTTTTCTTAAACGTAATATATTTTTCAGTAGGGTTTATCTAAAACAGAAAAGTAAAAATATATATTAGGGATCAATTAATTGGGGCTAACAAGACAAGTGGACCACCCTGTACTGTATGCGACCTGTGTGTTGGCGTGTGTTCTGGACACATTCCAATCAGTGAGCTCCTCCGGTAGGC